ATCTGGATCCAAAGCACAGTATTTGGCATCACTGAGTTACAGAGAAGCCTGAATTTATTTTCAGGTTATATATATGGACCTGATTAATGGGATATTTGATATAAATATTGCTATGAATTCGACTATAAATTAAACATGACAGTTGTTTTCTTTATGTGAGCCTAAGTGCATTTATCTTAATGCAGAAAAGAAAATGTACTCTAGCTTAGAAAAAATTAGAATTTGCTTGTTTATGAAATCAGGTTTATGACTCATTTTAAACTTTGTATTTACTGGCTATATATGAACAACATTTCCACATACAAATGCAAGGCCTTGTAATATGCTGATGCATGAATTCATTGCCTAAAGCTTAAGTCAGGTTAAAATACACATTCTCTTAAACCTCAGTTATTTCCTCCATGGTGAAAACTTGCACATTCATATTGTTTGGTATGTGCAGTGTGCATCACTGTTTTCCGCAGACCCCTTCTCAGGAGCAGCACACTGGAGCTTCTTGCTCCTGGAGTAAACACCAATTTATGGGTATAACTTGAAGCAGAAATCAGTTGGGTAATTTGAATGCTGAAATATGATTCAATTTGAAATGATAGTTTAGGGTATTTCCAATAATAAGAACAGTTTTGCCAGTTGCGTGCCCTGCTAGAAGGGATCAGAATTTAAAGTATGATAAGATCAGCTTTTAAACAATTTATTTGACTAGGAATGGCCAGATTTGGCTCCAAAATCCCCAGGGTCGTAACGCTGGAATTAAACTGCATCGCTGTAGAGAATAGTGTAATTACTGAAGCCACAAAATCTGGGACGGCCTAATAGTTTGGTCAGATGATGTGCTTTCATATCTGGACAAACTAATCTTGGGATCCCAGCTGCTGGAAGCATCTGCTCGAGCAGGGGACAAAGAGAAACGCAGTATGTCATCTTCCCTGGCTGGGCGGTGAAGGAGGATGTGCTGGTCAATTTCCCGGCATAGATCGTCATGAAATCCCAATGATTCATTCGGGGTCTAATTGTTTACTGACTTTTTAGGAAAATAAACCCGCAGAGCTTTCAATCATTTAATAACTAAAGTGTAGCAGGTAGCAGGCATGTTTGGCGTCACTCACTTCGGTTTCAACCTCTGTCCCTTCTACACGATAGCTATCATCCATCCTTATGTCCTCAGCTTTTCTCAACAGAGCCTCAGAGAGATGTGGGCTTAACAGAGATTCTCTTTCGTGACTACAAAGCAAAAGCTGTTAGATGCATAAAAATGGACTCAAAAAGAATTACTAAGATGTATTGACTTCCCATATGTTCACTGTAAGAAATGTAGGCTTCAAGCTAAGTCGTTGTCACAGTGAATGACTGAGAAACAGGGTTTCCAGCAAATGGACCTGAATGGCCTTACATTCAAATCTAGACCAACTTCCGTCATCAGAGAGCATCTCCATTCGTCATTGAAACCCGGTTACACTCATTTAAAACTTTCAGAATTTGACTATATTAGTAATCAATACTGATACGTTTCTAACAGCTAACTAAGGAATGTGATATGGCGAGTGTCTGATCCAAATCAGGCACCAGAACTATCTCTAAAGATGTTTCAAATGCCTGCATCTTCTTCAGGTTGACTCCATTGGACGGAGGTGAAGAACATTTTGAAAATAATATTTAAGTGGCTACTGTGACTGCTGAGGGTTTTTTTTTTTTTTGAGATTAAATCCCTTGGCAGAGGGATCTTTTTAGTAGAAAGTGATTGCTGAGGAAAATCTGTGAGAATGCTATATGCCCTTCACAATAATGATTTACAAACCAAGATAAAATATTTAGAGGAGAGGGAATTTACTGAGCAGGAGTTTCTTTCTAACTGTGTTCAACTCAGGTGAACTATTTCTATGATATCAAGAAACGGTGACTTCAGAAGGGACCTCCTAAGATGTGCAAGGATATACAGAGACATGCAGACCTATCATGCTAACAATGAAAACCAAGAGAAACATGGAAAAGAAAAGACTTTATGGCCTGTGGAAACAATCAGCATGCCTTTGCCTTTCCCAGAGAACGGTCTGTGGGAAGCAGAGAGCTGTTCAGACCATTTGCCGGTTCCTCCACAAGGATGGAAACCCTGACTATTGTTCCAATTGTTGCTAAAATTGTACCCAATTGTTCCAAATGTTGCTAAAATTGCACCCAATCAGTACGCAAGCTTTCTCCTTTCCCTTCTTCCATCTTCTCTAGGTCCTCCTCTAGCACAAGGCTCTCCTTTATGTGGAAGGGGCAAGGGAACCCATCTAGTTCAGACCACCTCACCAAAGTTCTTTTAAGTCCTTTGTATGTCTCAGCTGAAGGAAACACTTCTCCTAGGATTCCTCAAATGAGAAATGAGTCAATTTTTTATTCTATGAGGGCCCAGTGCTGCCCATCTCTACCTGAGCTTTCCAAATGATCAATTCCATTATAGGTAAGCCAAAATTTCAACAATTAAAATAAAAAGAATAAATAAAATTAGTAATAATCTGATCTATCTCTGTGTTGTGCCTATAGCTACTACCTCTCTCCACAGAGCTCAAACACTCGGTTCCCTTCTTGGAATGGCTTCTTCTGTTCCAATGCCCACCTCCAGGGAGGCTTTCGAATCCCCATGCTGACCTTCACACCCTAGCGCTAGTCTCTATAGACCTTTAAGGCTGCATTATGCGATAGCCAGTTGTCTTTCCAGATTTCTGAATATGCTGTGGGCTCTAAGGAGCCATAGGGTGTCCTCAGGGGCTCCCAGGGTGCAGTGTAGTGAACCCGGCAGCAGCAGAATGTCGATTCTGACTGAAGGGAAAGGCCCTCTCTAACCCTTCCTACTTAGTGATGTCTCTCCTTGGTGCTTCACAAGACAGTCCTGAATTCAGACTGGGTCGAGTGAAATCCTATTAGCAGAGGCTATCCCACAGCACCCCAAACTTTGTTTCCACATTTTATGTCTGTTCATGTGTTTTATCTTCCCTAAGACTCTGAACTTCGGGTGAGGACCTAACATGGCTAATCTTCCCATTTTGAAACCTACTGGACTGAAGACCTCAAAAACTATCTATGGAACCACAAATAAGGGAGAAAGAAGGAGGGTGGCCAGTTTAAATAGTAGGGAAAGTAGGGCTTGGTGGGAGGGACCACAGGAAGGAGAAGAAAATGGAGAAAAGAAAGTACAGCTACTCAAGGTTTTTACTTGATTCAGGGAGGTTAAACTTGTTTGGTTAATTAGGTGAAATAATTTCTTGAAATTCACAATCCATATTTTTATATAAATACATATCTGACATTCATATGTATATGCCTGATTTATTTATATATACCTGACTTGTTTCATATAATATATATATATATGCATATATATCTCACATCTAGGGGTCTCTAGGGATAGATTTGGTTGTCATGATAAGACTATAAGCCACATATTTTAACCAAGAAGTACATATCAACCCCCACCACAGAATCTGATGAGGCCTGTCCAGGCAGTAAAGCATAGCCTACAGATAAACTATTTATTGTATATCCATCTTAAGAGCTAAGCAGGACAGATACAGTTTTCATTATACAGCGGGGAAAACTGAACTTCAGAGAGGTTGAGAGGTATGCACATCTTGGAGCTGTAAATAAATCGAGGAAGGTGAAGCTAATTTGACTACCTCGTCTGAAATGCTGTCCTGTGGGGAATACAAGCTTCATCAGCAACAGCAGCTCTTACTCAGCATGTGCCTCCCGAAGCGTGTAGGTGTGCTTCCTGTGGCCAGAATTTTATCTAAAGAAAGATCAGTTGCTCTCTCATGGGCCCTCAGACACTGTTCTAGGGTCCTCTCCAACACCTTACCCTAAATGCTCTTAAACACTAGCTAGCGAGAAAACAATTTTTAACTGAAAATGTAACATGTAATGCAGCTAGCACACTTCTTTTGTTGAACATGTGATACCACAAAGGGATACCAGTGTGCATACACATGTGTGAACACATGCATATATAAATATACATTAACCATAGAGGCACTTAAATCATTAATATGCAAAGACTCGTTAATAGCACATTATTCCTCTGCACCCTTCCCGCTCCTTCCATTCTATTTCTCTCTTCTAGAGTTCCTTTCACGCCTTTGCTTCTTTTGTTAATTTATCTTCACCAGCAATTGTGCACATGCACGCACAGGGACTGTGATGTCAGAGTCCTGCCACGCACGCACAGGGACTGTGATGTCAGAGTCCTGCCACGCACGCACAGGGACTGTGATGTCAGAGTCCTGCCACGCACGCACAGGGACTGTGATGTCAGAGTCCTGACACGCACGCACAGGGACTATGATGTCAGAGTCCTGACACGCACGCACAGGGACTATGATGTCAGAGTCCTGACACGCAATCTATTCAATCACAGAATCACCAGATGATGGGATTTAAGAAACCTTCATGTTCACTCTCATTTAAACATGAATAAGTTTTTGGTGTTTTTTTAAATGTAGGTAAGTACATCTTCACTTAGCAACAATAGAAATACTTGCATTCTACTAGGGCTGAAATGTCTTTTGGGGGCAATGGGGTGGTTCAAGACAGGCTGTCCTGGAGCTCGCTTTGTAGACCAAGCTGGTCTCGAATTTGGAGATCCAGCTTTCTCTGCCTCCAGAGTGCTGGGATTAAATGTGTGCCCTACCACTGCCTGACTGACTTTTTACCCTTCTTCTGAAAAAGTTTTAATAATTGAGCTTAGAAATGAACAAGGAGAGGTATTATAGGATTTTGTAATTTTGGTAACTGAATTCAAATCTTGTTCTTGGTTATAAACTCAATTTATTTGATAACATAAATAATTTGGTTCAGGAATATAACTTTCACATGAGACTTGCTCCTAAGGAAAAGTGTGTGGCATCTATCCACAATCGTGTTGAGACTGGTTTCCAGGGTACTTTTCATGAGTGAGCTTTTGCATTATGTTACCACATTTCTTGTGGCTAAGCCATAAGAGCAGACACCGTGAGAGGACTTACCCACTCTTCCTCATCATAGTCAGAATGGTGTGGTATGGAGTCTTGTCTTCTCAGCTGAGGGGGCTCATCCTGGGGACAAGTGTCCTCTGTGCTGTCCTTAGGAGAGGGTGGCTTCTTAAGGATGCCTCCTGGCCGTGCCGTGAAGAGAGCCAAAAGAGCGCTCCTGACCAGCTGATCCTTGAAGGCGTGTACAAAAAGCTCAGTCTGGAAAGAAATTGATGAGGATTAGAAACCCAGGGTAGGCATCTCTGCACAGAGCTGTGACAAGGTCAATTGCAGATTTGTTGGTACTTAAGTAGGGCATGTGTGGCGGAAAAGCACAGGCGCCAAGGAGGGAGAGTGATTCATACCAATCAATGGGAAATAGTTTGGTTTGGGGATGCTGCCGAGGACTGGAGTCCTGCTGTTTTAAAATGCTGAGGTTTTAAATGTCCTATAAACACCATCTGTCATCTCAGTCGCTTCTCTTTGTGCTCCACCGTCTTCGGAGGTATATGTCACTGGGGACAATCATTTCAACAACTACCTGCTATACCTCTCAAGCAATCCCGAACACATCCCAAAAGAAAGCCTGATCGTGCTATGTCTATTTTATATTTAAAGCAGAAATAGAAGCTACAAGGGGGCTGGGAGGAACTACATTACAAAAAAAAAATTCAGAGTGCTTTCACATCATGGAAAGATCTCAACAGATTAGATTTCCCTATGATAATATTTGTTCTTTTACAATTTATTAGCAACCTCAAACTGTCTCCTTAGCCACATCATGCCAGCAATGCGATGTTAATGAGGTGATGGTGAAGGTTGGCACGGAAGATATTACAAGCTAGTGGTAGATACCTGGTAAGCACCAGAATAACGAGAGCTTGCTACCAGTAAAGAGTTTCACAGCTGCACTTCACAATTCCCTGATAAAATGTTTAATAGCTTCATGCTGTAATAGACTGAAGGATGCAATAATTGATTTTCTTTAATATAGTAAACTTAATGTGTCTGTGACCTAACAGTGTGTTCAAAGACTAGAGAGATAAGCCAGCATTGGCCAATATGATTCATACCTCAGTTAGGAAAAGACTCTTTATCTAAGTGCTATTTTTTGAAGGTTCTTGATATCATCATCCATTCATGTAGCAAGCTCAGATGCTGCTAACTTAATCACTGCTATATTTCAAAGTAATTGTTTCTTGGTCTACTCCCAAATCCAGCCAACAGTGCCATGGCTACCTCAAGGTTAGTAAATTTTCTCTGTCTCTCTTTGTGAATTTCAATATATAAAGAGATTCAGGTAATCCCTATGCAAATAAGTGCCAAAATTGTTTATCATATCTGTATATTTTATTCTTTCCAATAATAGATCATGCCATTCTAAAGCCGGAACGGACCTTTTGGCTGATCCTTCATTAATCAGATATAAAATTGTATTTGCTACTTCTCTATTGTCATGATATAATACCATAACCAAGGCAACTTACAGATCAAAGAATTGTTTGGGGCTTAGAGTTTCATAGGTGAGTCTATGATGCTGAGGGTGGGAGGCAGCAGGCAGGCAGGCATAAGCAGGCATGAGCAGTAGCTGAGAATGTCACAACAGTTGGGACAGACATGGGTGTTTGAAATGTCAAAGCCTTCCCCCAGGGACGCATCTCTTCCAACAAGGTGGCATGTCTTCTGAATCCTTTCCAAACAGATCCACCAACTGGGGGCTAAGTAAGTATCAAGTAGGGGCTAAGTATCAACTGGGGGCTAAGTATCAAATGTATGAACCTATGTGGGAATTTCTCATTCAGACCACCACAAAAAAGGAAAGAAAATGAAAGAAAGAAATATAACAGTCTGTGTTACCACGCTGCTCATCTTGCAGGCTGCGAGATGCCTAGCAAATTCAGCAATCCTTCCTTATTGCACCCCATGCCACACTTGCAAGCTGTCCGGATGTCTGTGTCCTTCTTCCCTCCCTCAGTCTGAATCCCCACACATTTTAAAAATCTACATGTGTCGGAACTAAATCTCCCTCCTGCGAACTGCCCATGGAATTATTGCTGGTACAAAAGTTCATTGACTGTTGTCAACATTAAACAAATGTATTAGCTATTCTGTAAGAAAACAATAAATGCGAAAAGCTGAATATAAAACACTAACAGTTGAAAAATACTTTAGAATAAATTATGAGAAGTCAGCTAGCTTACAATGGAAAAGCACAGTGAGTGTCCACTTATGCAATGTGTTAAAATGACAATGGAAGACACAGAACGAATAATGAAGAAATTAGCTGGATGGCACTCTAGCTACTCAGTGTGCATGATGGAAAATGGGCAAACACGCTGTCTACATAATTTCTCATAGTCTGCTTATACCCATTAGTGCTACTTTATTAAAAATGCGAATTTACTCCCTTTCAGGATAACCAAACTTTTGCTTCTTGCTAGTTTCAATACATTCTTTTGATTTATTGTTAGAACAACAACCAGACTCCTTGGCATCCCTGCTACTACTACAGCTTAAATTTCTGCAATACTTACACAATTACCATGTAGAGGTGTGGTTATTCACACAAACTAGAACCTTCTAAAGTATATGACTATTCACATCAACTGGAACCTACTACCATACTTAGATATTTACATTAACTGGAATCTTCTACATCAATACGCTATTCACACCAAGTAGAAACTTCTATAGTACTTGACTACACCAACTCAAATCTTCTACAGTTCTTGACTATTCACACCAACTAGAAATTGTTATAGTACTTGACCATTCACACCAACAAAAACCTTCTGCAGTCCATGATATCACTTTTCTTCAATATTTACATAATTACTAAGCAGAGGTATGTCTATCCACACCAGCTAGAGACTTCTGCAGTACTTGAGGTCACTTTTCTGCAATACTTACATAATTGCTATGTAGAGGTGTGACTTATCCACACCAACTAGAATCTTCTACAGTACTTGAGACCACTTTTCTGCAACACTTACATAATTACTACATAGAGGCGAGGCTGTTCCCACTCGAGTTCACTGTTTTGCAATGCTTGCATAATTAGTATGTAGAGATGTGGCTATCCACACAAACTAGGATATTCTACTGTACTTGGTATCACTTTTTCCCAAACATGCACACACAGACTCTCTGCTTCATTTATTCGAATCTCATTTCAAAGATAATGCAATAGTTTCTTGCAGACTCTCTTTTTACATCCAGGACTTCTTTAACACAGCTAAATACAAAGTAACAACATATTATACAAAAGCCATAAAAGCTGAGCTTTGACTTTCTGTTTCTAGGGGAAATTGTATCTGGATCATTAGGAGCTCTCTGGACCTTTTGAAACCTGCACACACAGAATCACATCTCATCAAAAAATATCAAATATTCCATTTGCGAGATCTGTGTGACTTGAGAAAATGTCCTAGTTTTCTTGATAAGCATTTCTCATTAAATAAGATGAGTAGAGGTTAGATGACTTATGATTAAATGAGAAGGCTCTGGAAATTACTAATTCACTTATTCCAACCCATTTGCATGCGGCTATTCTTGTATCTGACTGTGTAAGATGAGGGGAGACAAACTCAGGGGATGCTGTAATCTCGGTTCTGAGTCACTTATTGATTCTCCTTAAAACATTCTTCCTTTTTGACTCAGATCACATTAAGTGGAGAAAACAAATCGTGTTAATGTGTAACAACGGTAAACCACATAATTCATTTAAAATGTTGGCTTAACTGCATAGTCAACAATGAAAGAATAGACTCTGAACCTGAGGATGAGAATCTATTTCATGTCTTTCGGGATTTTAAAAATCTATTTCATGTCTTTCGGGATTTTAAAAATGAAATAAAAAATGCTAACTTGGAAGTGAAATATTTTACCCTTATGGCATTTTTGAAATTCATATTTCCATTCATCTATTCTTCAAGGGAAAACACAGGATTACCTTGAAGTTTAAAGGTACTAAAAGTTATTTCTCTCGGGAAAGCCAAAGAAAAATTCCCAGGCTTCTGAATATTGATGATAGGAGAGTGGTTAGAGCATGCTCCTCTTTCCTGCTAAAGAATACAACAAATTCAGTAAAATCTATTCTTCTTAGAATTTCATTCTCATTAAAAACAAATTCAAGGCAATGCTGATCAGACTGCACCTGCGATACAGAAGCAACTGTTGGCAGAAGTAGGTGACAGCTACTTTGACAGTAATGCATACAGCAAGACAAACTCTATTTTCATATTTTATAAGCTTTATTTCAAAAAGAAAATATTTTTATATTCCACCATTTGGTATAGTGATATTTTTCAGAATTCCTTAAGGGAAATTATAGTGAGCAGCCAGGAAGTTACAGACACCCTGGGTATTTATGTAACATGTACACGACCTTGAACAGATGATTCAACCATCTCTCAGTTTATACAAAGTGCGCTTCCAGCCTGTAGACGGCTAAGTTCACTATGAAGTGGAAACTTCCTTCTTCTAGTTGCAATCCTCTTTTGTGACTGAACTTGTTGTAAGTTTTCCTTTTGTATCTTTTCACCCCCTGGTCATTCTGGACACTGAAAGTGAAACCAGGAACTTAAAATCATTTTCTTAAAAGCATATTTTTCTCTCTTGGTAATACAACATTCCCTCATAGTCTCAACTTCATCATTATACTCAGGTCTCTGTGACTGTCTCCACGTACATTCTGAGCCATCTTGAGCAACTTAAAGCCTTTCCAGTAGAGTGTCAATCTGAACTCAAAGTGGGATCTTGTCTTTGCTTTGATTCTGTTAGCTTGTGTTCTAAGATATTCCACCCGACGACATCACTATTTTAGCAAGCCAGAATGCAAATTCCTGGGACATTTTTCCATGACCTCTTTATGTGGGATTGCTATCCAGTTTCTTCTAGCTAAACCCTCCCAGTAATGTGAGATTTATACCCTTTCTTTACAGCCACATAGTAAATTGCTTTTCCGCAATCCGGGGAACACTTGCCACAGAACCTTTATGGAGTGATTTACTTTTCAAATGCATTCTCTTTTTTTTCCCCAGGATGATAGTTAAAAGCCACAAAAACTAAGACACAAGCTATAGAGTCTTAACCCTGAATAATGGATGAGAATTTGAATGTTTAGCAAGGTCTCCCAGAAGCGTGACTGGCATGATGTGATGCCCAGTACTGACCGGAAACGCAACATACCTTCGCACTCCGCCTCTCTGTTGCTATAG